GGCCTTACAAGGACAATTTTTTCTTTCATTGACTGACTTTCCTTCCACGTATTCGAACAATAATAAGGAAGTCCTTATATATGGAAATGACAAAAAAATTCATATCTATAAATATTGGTGGATAAAATCTATTATAATTAATTGGTATAGTAAATATTTTAATATTTGTTTATAATTATTAATATCATCCTATTTATATTTATGAGTATCTATTATTTGAAAAAAAAATTTAAGAGTAAGATCTAATTTATATTTTATTAAGTTTAATTTATTTATAATTAAAATTAATTTATATTTTATTAGATTAAATTTAATTAAAATTAAAATTTAATTTTTATTATATTTTATATTTTTTTATAATTTTATTTTAAAAGTTTATAAAATATATCTTTTTAAATAGTTACTAGTATTAATGAATATATGTATGTTTTAAAATATCTATAAATATTTTTTAAATATATATCCAAGTACCGAGTTAATAAACGAATTTTTTTGTATTGTAAATAATGAGTAAACACTTCTATCTAACTTAATCTTACCCGTGTGTCATACTCCTCTCTCTAATTTTCTCTTCCATCTCATAACAAATAAGCATATAAAAACACTTCTCTTCCTCAAAACGAGTTATTCCTACTCGACCCATCACAGATTGGTCACTTAGTGACCTAACCCAACTAGACTTACTTATTAGCGAGTCGAAAAAGTTTGAACCCAACTTGGCCCATCACAGTGGGTTAAACGCGTTAGCTCATTAATTCATCTAATTACAACTTTTTCTTTTTTATTAAAAAATAACAAAATTTTTCTAATTCAAATTTAAATAAAGGGAAGAAATTTAAATTTGATTTGTGATCAATATTTTATTCACATATATCACAAAATCTCCTTAACAAATTTTTCAACGACTTCATAGCGATTCAAATTTGTTTCTGCATAAAAATTAAATTAATAAGTATAAATTTGTGGTTTTTCCATGTTATATAATTATTCCATACAAAAACCATTTTACTCGAGTCTTTATCTGAGTATTTTGTAAAATGACTAACCAGGAAAAAAATACTTATTTTTTAAAATTATATGGATTGGATAGCCAACCCGACACATCACAAGTTGAACCTGTGTTCTTAATAGGTTAGGTTCAAAATTAGCCCTATCGAAATTTCAAATTTTTTTTAACCCAACCCGATTCAAACTTAAAGTGATCCGAGTTGACTCAGAAGTTCCAACCCATTTTAACACAAATTCATCTAGTCAAACATAATTATTTAATGTTCTTACTTAAAATAACAAACATAATTTTTTAATTTTAAACCATTCTCTGTTTTTTTTTTTTGTTAAAGTGTGTTATTTACATTAAAGAATACATATATTCTTACGTAAGAAGACAATTTTTTTTAGTTATCTAGAAAGAACTAACAGATTCAATTTTGAAATCCAAAAAATAAAAATAAATAAACTTAAATTTAGAAGAGAAATTATAACTGACAGAAATTTAAAAAAAGGTATAATACCTATTTTGGTTCCAATTTTTGTTGGGAAAATTCGAAATGTTTCCAATTTTTTTTGCTGTTTAATGTAGTTTCAAATAGGCTTAATACCCTATTTTGTCCCCAGTTTCACTCGAAAATGTCAAATTAGTCAATCCTTTAAAAAATGCGTCAATTACGTCCTCACTTAATAAAATTTGCATCAATGAAATCCCTTCCGTTAAATCCGTACAAACGGCGTTAATTATTTTTCTCTCTTATCAAGTAACGTCGTTTGTACGGATTTAACGGAAGGGATTTCATTGATGCAAATTTTATTAAGTGAGGACGTAATTGACGCATTTTTTAAAGGATGGACTAATTTGACATTTTCGAGTGGAACTGGGGCAAAATAAGGTATTAAGCCTTTCAAATAATGTAATTTGTGTTCAATTTGGTCCTTTTAGCAAACACCATCTAAATCGTTAACGGCGCGATGTCCACATGTGCAATTACATAGTGAAATTGGCTTACGTGGAGTCCTTTGTGACATTGTCAGTTGGATTTATTATTTTTCAAATTGGGGCTACTACCATCTCACCACAATTGCAAATGGGGATTATCCCTAGACCCATTGAACCACCACCATGTGAACAGTGACAACTTCGGTGCCCCAAGCTATTACAACAAGAAGAAGAAGAATGGGAAACATACATGGCTCATTAACCACCAAGATTTGGGAAGAAGATTGGGAAGCAGACATAACTCATTGACCATCAAGATTGGGAAGAAGATTTGTTAACATCCAACGTCGCTGTGGCTTTCAAAGAACAAAAGCAAAAACAGTAGAATTTGAAAAATAATAAATCCAACTGAGACGCCACAAAGAACTCCATATAAGTCAATTTGATTCTGTAATTGTACATGTAAACATCTTGTCGTTAACGATTTAGACTATGTTTGCTAAAAGGACCAAATTGAACACAAATTATATTATTTTGAATTACATTAAATAAAAAAAAAATTGGGATCATTTCAAATTTTTCCAACCAAAATTAGACCAAAATATGTATTATATCTTTAAAAAACACATTTAATTGTTAAATATAAACTTATATGACAAGAAACTAACATTTCCTCTATCCATCCAAATCGCCGAGGCATGTTACTCTCGCACTTCATGCCAATGGATTTTGCACACCCAAGACAAGCTTCCACAAAACCCTAACTTATTTTTCGCCATTCAATATCAACAAATACGTCTGAAATTGGATTGGGCAATAACAATCTTCCAATTCAACGATTAAGTGGAGACAAATGGAGTCTGACGAAGACGATTTTGTTTTCTATGGAACACCGATAGAGCGTGAGGACGATGTAATCAGTCGCAAGAAGAAGGCCATTGCCGAGTCCTCCGGTCAACTTCGAACTCTCCCAGCTTGGAAGCAAGAGGTAAGCATTTACGCTCCTCACCGAAATTCCGTTACGACGGCGTTGAATTGATTTGGCGTTGGCACTGTTTCCGGAAATTGCTAATGCACATGGCAAAAGACTTAAGGGTTTTTGGTTTTTCTTTTTACCGTCAAATTAGAAAGTGAAGTTGATTATGCCGTTGTATCTACGGTTGGATTGAATGGTCTGATTCTGCCTCTATGTTCATGGAGGAGTTCAGTTTTGTTTCTGATGGCTACTTCCCTAGAGCTATTCGATTAAAGACTATAATTGGTGAAAAAAAGAATTGACTAGAAGCTATTGGAATATGAATATTCCTGTTAATTGTTATTGTATCTTTAGTGACGTTGTTTTGGTTCTATAGTGAGTGTATTCATATTCTGAATTTACATTTCAATATTTTGTATTTGAACCCTATTCAATGAAAGGCGGTTGATTGCTTCTGTAGCTGTGAAATGTGTGGATATATGTGATTTATAATTAAAGTCGGTACTTGGTTTTATTGCTTAAATTCATTAGCAATGACCCTTTTGAAAACGATAATAATTTGGCATTACTTAAGTAATGTTGCCTGTATCTTAACCTCATTACAATTTTGGTTTAACCAACTCCAGGTTAGAGACGAGGAAGGGCGGAGAAGATTCCATGGAGCATTTACAGGAGGCTATTCTGCTGGTTACTATAATACAGTGGGCTCCAAAGAAGGTTTAAGTTCATTATTAATCGTTCTGTCTCAGAATTGAATTTTAAAGCTGGTCGTCTGTTAACTTTATGAATGAATGTGCAGGGTGGGCACCCCAGTCATTTAAATCATCCAGGAAGAACAGAGCAGAATTCAAGGAGCAGAATATACTGAATTTTCTAGATGAAGACGAGAAATCTGTATGTTGAATGATAGATGCCGGTATAGGTTTTTTGTTATGCATAATTTTTAAGATATTTAAATTTATATGTTTCAAAGTCTTCCTATTCACTTCTAAGGCGGTATAGGTGTAGGTACTGAAGGTGTGATATCAAGCAGATCCAGCCTTTTACTCTAGAACCATTTCAAGGCAGATAGATATTTCTGTTATATTTATCAGTTGTACTTAAACTTAAATTTGATATATATTATTCATTGATGATCAATTTCATTGGTGCCTTTTACATGGTTCTACTTTTTTTGTCGTTTTCAATATCTTTTGATGTGAAGCTTTATTAAATTTAAATTAGCATAAATAGATCCATCCACATATCACCTTGGGATTTTGAATATTACAAGCACCCACTTAAAAATGGAAAAAGTTAGAAGCAAATCTTTTGTAGAATACGCAAACCTATTAGATTTGTTATGTTAAAATTCTAAAATTGAGGAAAGTGTGTTCTATTAGAATTTAAGCAAGGAAGTTTCCTTAATTTTAGTTGAAATGGAGCATAGTGGGTGCTATTTTAAATATTTGAAATGCGAGGAGGGCTATGTATTTTCATTAGATATTATGATGTTTCTAGGACAAGAATATAATCTTGTTTGCTTGTCCAGAAGGAATCTGAACTAAAATAATGCTGTAGAAAATGATGATACTATCATTAACATAATCACAACATTTCTTTGATTTGGATGGAACCAGGTAGGTCATTACTTAATTAGTGTTTGGGGGTTCAATCTTTTGGGTAGATTAAGTTTTTTTGTGCTCTAACATGCCCTTTCCATGTATCACAGGAGTTGGAAGGTCGTTTTTTGGGGACTACTTCACAGTTTGATACATTTGGTTTCACAGCTGCCGAAATTGCTCGCAAACAAGCTGAGACGGAACAGAAACAGAGGTTCATTTTATCTCTCTACTTGTTATTATGGTCATTTGATGTAAATATATCAGTTAACTTCTATTTGTGATGTGTTTTTTTTTAGAGTGGATATTGAAATGCTTTTGCTTCTCTATAGCTTTATTGTTTTCATCATTTTTTATCAGCTCTAATGTTTACATCTTAATATGAGGTTTTACAGGAAAACCATTACCAGTCCTCTATTTTTATGTTTTTTTGACAGTTGATTCTCATGTATTCCAAAAATTGTGAGAAATGGGAGATTATTCAGCATCTTTGATGTTTAACCCGTTGTAGATTCGTTTTGGAGAATTCCTTTTATAAATATTCAAGGGACTGGAGAACTTTGTTTCATTATTCAACTTGTGTGTGTTTAATCCCTTTTTTTGTTAACGATTATTCTCTCTTTCTATTATAATCACCTTATACATACTTAACAACCATCACCAAACCTTTTTTCACTAGGTGGAGCCAGCTACTTGGATGAAATGTCACCATAAATTCACTTGTAAATCATGCTTATAGACAGACTATTGACATTTTAATTTTGATTTCATTTTGTCATAAAGAGAGGGCAAACCTTGGTGCGACAGTAAGGTTGCTGCCACCTTCCTATCTGATTGTGATGGATTTACATCCTAGAAACAGCTTGTTTGCCTGCAAGGTTAAAGCTATGTGCATTTATCCTCCTCAGACCCCACTAGGTGGGAATGAGCCTCATGCACTGGAGGAGTAGAAAATAAGGCATGCCAGTTATCTGTGCATATGACTTTTGGCTTTTTTATTTGAATGGTTGTTAGGCTCACCTATATTTTTCTTGGTTCTGAAAATATTAAACAAAAGTTTTACTTTTAAAATTCTTTTCCCTTTGTGGTGGTGATGAGTATAACGTTTGAACTACTGATCCATTGAACTGTGACGCACTGTGATCTTTTGAGTTAAAATAATTTATAAGATTGAAATTAAAATTGATGTGTAATTGTGTCCTTCAAATAGTCTGATTTTCTTTAATAAAAATCCTCCCTTTTATTTTCTTTAATGGAAATCCTCCCTATTTGCATGTCTATAATCGCCATTTTTATAAATCTCAATATGTTAGCGCATCTCCAGCACTGGAGTTCTTATTCCACTTTAAATGGGACTCGTTATGCTACATCATTTTTGAGCCATTCATACCAAATTTTTACATGTTTTGCTCCAATGGGTTGTTCTTATAAGCACTTACACTTATATCTATCTATCTACCTATATATATATATATATATATATATATATATATATATATATATCTTATTTACATTTCACCTTTTGACAAGTTAAAAATAATGTCATTTTTTCCCAATTTTCTTCTTAAGCACCATTCTTTGTAGAAACAATGTTGCTATAGTTTTAGAAACTCTTGTTGCAACGTAGATTAACTCCATTGCAGTTTCTTATTAGACGCAACTACTTTTTGTTAAGCAACAGGTTAATAACTCTGCTCTGGAGTTGCTCTTACAAAATATGGATGTTTGTAATAAGCTACTATTCTACCCATTATGTAATCTTCAATATTATTAACCTGAATTAGAGTTTTTTCTCCCGAAAGCAAAATGCAGCATTACCGGTTTTTCTTGTTTCTCCATAATTTGCCCCTTTTTATTTTTTGTTTTTGTTTTTTATCTTTCTGATGACAACTCCATGCTTGTTGGTGTTTTTCTTTTTCATTGTAGACCATCCGTAATACCTGGACCTGTACCTGATGAAATAGTTGTTCCGGCCAATGAGTCAATAGGTGTTCCACTCAACTTGAATAGCATTTTCTTTAAAAATATTCTGTTTCTTACATCCTTCACATGTTTTAGGGGTAAAACTTCTCTTAAAGATGGGGTGGAGTCGTGGCCGCACGATCAAGGATTCACATTCTGATGCATTGTATGGTATGATTTCCCATTACCAATTTTTAGCTATTTGTTCGCTTTCTAGTTTATACCTTTTGATACAAGTTCATCCAATATAAGTTATATTGTAAGAAAGGGTTCTTAGGGCTGTATGGTTTGAGAAAACACTTTCTTATTTCTGTTTTACTTTATTTCACTTTTTTAGAACTTTGTATTGGGAACAGTAAAAACAATTATTTTTTATCATTTAAAGATATTATCTTTAGTTTATATTTATCTTTAGTTTGTTTGTTTATATTTCTTATTTGTATTTTGAACTTATCTCATATTTCTTCTATTATAAATAGAGGACCTATGTGTATATAAGGGAGATCAATTCAATATATAATTTTCACCATATTCAACTTGGTATCTGAGGAGGTTTTGTGATCCTTTTCTACTCTGTCTTTGTTGTCGCTGGTGGTTGCCACCACCGGCGCCCCCCTTAAAAATCTCATCTTTTTTGAAATACCTCAACGAGTAATCCTGTCTTTCTCAGCCTCAAGATCAGGTTTAGGTTTGTACCTGGCTTGAACCTTCTCCAGTGTTTCCAACTTTTTCTGATAACAGCTATAAGCTAAACTTCCAGAGTTTGTCTCAATACAATTAGAATGGTATTCGAACCCATGCACTTTCGGACCAATACCTGAAACTGGTGCTTTAGATCAACTGATGCCTAATCATTTTGGCACTCTTATTTGACATTCTCACTGCCTTCCATTCATTTGCACCTAGAATTTAAAAAAAAAAAGACCTAAAGTCTCTTCTTCTAATAGGGAACCCTAGAAAGGCACTTGCCTCCTCCTATACGTGAATAGGCCATTGCCTCCACTGAACTAGCCGTCGCGAGCCGCGGCCCAAGGCTTCACCAACAACATCGATCGCCGCTCTCCACCGCCAACCAGCGTCCGTCGTCGGCCGTTTGTCGTCAGCTGTCTTTGTCTCGTCCACACGCGCCGTCACGCACCTCCTCTCTCCGTCAGATATCGGGTGCGTATTGTTCATGCGCCGCCCATCCCTGGTCGGAAGATCATCGTGCCACTGGTGTTCTGTTTGCCTCACTCTCCTGAGCTTCTTTTGGCCCCTTGGCTTCTTCTCAAGTCCTAACCATCACTTCAATGGCAGTTCCTCTTGCCGTCATCTCCGCCGCTTGTGCCACNATCTATTATTTGAAAAAAAAATTTAAGAGTAAGATCTAATTTATATTTTATTAAGTTTAATTTATTTATAATTAAAATTAATTTATATTTTATTAGATTAAATTTAATTAAAATTAAAATTTAATTTTTATTATATTTTATATTTTTTTATAATTTTATTTTAAAAGTTTATAAAATATATCTTTTTAAATAGTTACTAGTATTAATGAATATATGTATGTTTTAAAATATCTATAAATATTTTTTAAATATATATCCAAGTACCGAGTTAATAAACGAATTTTTTTGTATTGTAAATAATGAGTAAACACTTCTATCTAACTTAATCTTACCCGTGTGTCATACTCCTCTCTCTAATTTTCTCTTCCATCTCATAACAAATAAGCATATAAAAACACTTCTCTTCCTCAAAACGAGTTATTCCTACTCGACCCATCACAGCCCAACTAGACTTACTTATTAGCAAGTCGAAAAAGTTTGAATCCAACTCGGTCCATCACAGTGAGTTAAACGCGTTAGCTCATTAATTCATCTAATTACAACTTTTTCTTTTTTTATTAAAAAATAACAAAATTTTTCTAATTCAAATTTAAATAAAGGGAAGAAATTTAAATTGGATTTGTGATCAATATTTTATTCACATATATCACAAAATCTCCTAAACAAATTTTTCAACGACTTCATAGCGATTCAAATTTGTTTCTGCATAAAAATTAAATTAATAAGTATAAATTTGTGGTTTTTCCATGTTATATAATTATTCCATACAAAAACCATTTTACTCGAGTCTTTATCTGAGTATTTTGTAAAATGACTAACCAGGAAAAAAATACTTATTTTTTAAAATTATATGGATTGGATAGCCAACCCGACACATCACAAGTTGAACCTGTGTTCTTAATAGGTTAGGTTCAAAATTAGCCCTATCGAAATTTCAAATTTTTTTTAACCCAACCCGATTCAAACTTAAAGTGATCCGAGTTGACTCAGAAGTTCCAACCCATTTTAACACAAATTCATCTAGTCAAACATAATTATTTAATGTTCTTACTTAAAATAACAAACATAATTTTTTAATTTTAAACCATTCTCTGTTTTTTTTTTTTGTTAAAGTGTGTTATTTACATTAAAGAATACATATATTCTTACGTAAGAAGACAATTTTTTTTAGTTATCTAGAAAGAACTAACAGATTCAATTTTGAAATCCAAAAAATAAAAATAAATAAACTTAAATTTAGAAGAGAAATTATAACTGACAGAAATTTAAAAAAAGGTATAATACCTATTTTGGTTCCAATTTTTGTTGGGAAAATTCGAAATGTTTCCAATTTTTTTTGCTGTTTAATGTAGTTTCAAATAGGCTTAATACCCTATTTTGTCCCCAGTTTCACTCGAAAATGTCAAATTAGTCAATCCTTTAAAAAATGCGTCAATTACGTCCTCACTTAATAAAATTTGCATCAATGAAATCCCTTCCGTTAAATCCGTACAAACGGCGTTAATTATTTTTCTCTCTTATCAAGTAACGTCGTTTGTACGGATTTAACGGAAGGGATTTCATTGATGCAAATTTTATTAAGTGAGGACGTAATTGACGCATTTTTTAAAGGATGGACTAATTTGACATTTTCGAGTGGAACTGGGACAAAATAAGGTATTAAGCCTTTCAAATAATGTAATTTGTGTTCAATTTGGTCCTTTTAGCAAACACCATCTAAATCGTTAACGGCGCGATGTCCACATGTGCAATTACATAGTGAAATTGGCTTACGTGGAGTCCTTTGTGACATTGTCAGTTGGATTTATTATTTTTCAAATTGGGGCTACTACCATCTCACCACAATTGCAAATGGGGATTATCCCTAGACCCATTGAACCACCACCATGTGAACAGTGACAACTTCGGTGCCCCAAGCTATTACAACAAGAAGAAGAAGAATGGGAAACATACATGGCTCATTAACCACCAAGATTTGGGAAGAAGATTGGGAAGCAGACATAACTCATTGACCATCAAGATTGGGAAGAAGATTTGTTAACATCCAACGTCGCTGTGGCTTTCAAAGAACAAAAGCAAAAACAGTAGAATTTGAAAAATAATAAATCCAACTGAGACGCCACAAAGAACTCCATATAAGTCAATTTGATTCTGTAATTGTACATGTAAACATCTTGTCGTTAACGATTTAGACTATGTTTGCTAAAAGGACCAAATTGAACACAAATTATATTATTTTTAATTACATTAAATAAAAAAAAATTTGGTTTTTTTTTAATTTTTTCTATCTAAATTTTGACCAAAATATGTATTATATCTTTAAAAAACACATTTAATTGTTAAATATAAACTTATATGACAAGAAACTAACATTTCCTCTATCCATCCAAATCGCCGAGGCATGTTACTCTCGCACTTCATGCCAATGGATTTTGCACACCCAAGACAAGCTTCCACAAAACCCTAACTTATTTTTCGCCATTCAATATCAACAAATACGTCTGAAATTGGATTGGGCAATAACAATCTTCCAATTCAACGATTAAGTGGAGACAAATGGAGTCTGACGAAGACGATTTTGTTTTCTATGGAACACCGATAGAGCGTGAGGACGATGTAATCAGTCGCAAGAAGAAGGCCATTGCCGAGTCCTCCGGTCAACTTCGAACTCTCCCAGCTTGGAAGCAAGAGGTAAGCATTTACGCTCCTCACCGAAATTCCGTTACGACGGCGTTGAATTGATTTGGCGTTGGCACTGTTTCCGGAAATTGCTAATGCACATGGCAAAAGACTTAAGGGTTTTTGGTTTTTCTTTTTACCGTCAAATTAGAAAGTGAAGTTGATTATGCCGTTGTATCTACGGTTGGATTGAATGGTCTGATTCTGCCTCTATGTTCATGGAGGAGTTCAGTTTTGTTTCTGATGGCTACTTCCCTAGAGCTATTCGATTAAAGACTATAATTGGTGAAAAAAAGAATTGACTAGAAGCTATTGGAATATGAATATTCCTGTTAATTGTTATTGTATCTTTAGTGACGTTGTTTTGGTTCTATAGTGAGTGTATTCATATTCTGAATTTACATTTCAATATTTTGTATTTGAACCCTATTCAATGAAAGGCGGTTGATTGCTTCTGTAGCTGTGAAATGTGTGGATATATGTGATTTATAATTAAAGTCGGTACTTGGTTTTATTGCTTAAATTCATTAGCAATGACCCTTTTGAAAACGATAATAATTTGGCATTACTTAAGTAATGTTGCCTGTATCTTAACCTCATTACAATTTTGGTTTAACCAACTCCAGGTTAGAGACGAGGAAGGGCGGAGAAGATTCCATGGAGCATTTACAGGAGGCTATTCTGCTGGTTACTATAATACAGTGGGCTCCAAAGAAGGTTTAAGTTCATTATTAATCGTTCTGTCTCAGAATTGAATTTTAAAGCTGGTCGTCTGTTAACTTTATGAATGAATGTGCAGGGTGGGCACCCCAGTCATTTAAATCATCCAGGAAGAACAGAGCAGAATTCAAGGAGCAGAATATACTGAATTTTCTAGATGAAGACGAGAAATCTGTATGTTGAATGATAGATGCCGGTATAGGTTTTTTGTTATGCATAATTTTTAAGATATTTAAATTTATATGTTTCAAAGTCTTCCTATTCACTTCTAAGGCGGTATAGGTGTAGGTACTGAAGGTGTGATATCAAGCAGATCCAGCCTTTTACTCTAGAACCATTTCAAGGCAGATAGATATTTCTGTTATATTTATCAGTTGTACTTAAACTTAAATTTGATATATATTATTCATTGATGATCAATTTCATTGGTGCCTTTTACATGGTTCTACTTTTTTTGTCGTTTTCAATATCTTTTGATGTGAAGCTTTATTAAATTTAAATTAGCATAAATAGATCCATCCACATATCACCTTGGGATTTTGAATATTACAAGCACCCACTTAAAAATGGAAAAAGTTAGAAGCAAATCTTTTGTAGAATACGCAAACCTATTAGATTTGTTATGTTAAAATTCTAAAATTGAGGAAAGTGTGTTCTATTAGAATTTAAGCAAGGAAGTTTCCTTAATTTTAGTTGAAATGGAGCATAGTGGGTGCTATTTTAAATATTTGAAATGCGAGGAGGGCTATGTATTTTCATTAGATATTATGATGTTTCTAGGACAAGAATATAATCTTGTTTGCTTGTCCAGAAGGAATCTGAACTAAAATAATGCTGTAGAAAATGATGATACTATCATTAACATAATCACAACATTTCTTTGATTTGGATGGAACCAGGTAGGTCATTACTTAATTAGTGTTTGGGGGTTCAATCTTTTGGGTAGATTAAGTTTTTTTGTGCTCTAACATGCCCTTTCCATGTATCACAGGAGTTGGAAGGTCGTTTTTTGGGGACTACTTCACAGTTTGATACATTTGGTTTCACAGCTGCCGAAATTGCTCGCAAACAAGCTGAGACGGAACAGAAACAGAGGTTCATTTTATCTCTCTACTTGTTATTATGGTCATTTGATGTAAATATATCAGTTAACTTCTATTTGTGATGTGTTTTTTTTTAGAGTGGATATTGAAATGCTTTTGCTTCTCTATAGCTTTATTGTTTTCATCATTTTTTATCAGCTCTAATGTTTACATCTTAATATGAGGTTTTACAGGAAAACCATTACCAGTCCTCTATTTTTATGTTTTTTTGACAGTTGATTCTCATGTATTCCAAAAATTGTGAGAAATGGGAGATTATTCAGCATCTTTGATGTTTAACCCGTTGTAGATTCGTTTTGGAGAATTCCTTTTATAAATATTCAAGGGACTGGAGAACTTTGTTTCATTATTCAACTTGTGTGTGTTTAATCCCTTTTTTTGTTAACGATTATTCTCTCTTTCTATTATAATCACCTTATACATACTTAACAACCATCACCAAACCTTTTTTCACTAGGTGGAGCCAGCTACTTGGATGAAATGTCACCATAAATTCACTTGTAAATCATGCTTATAGACAGACTATTGACATTTTAATTTTGATTTCATTTTGTCATAAAGAGAGGGCAAACCTTGGTGCGACAGTAAGGTTGCTGCCACCTTCCTATCTGATTGTGATGGATTTACATCCTAGAAACAGCTTGTTTGCCTGCAAGGTTAAAGCTATGTGCATTTATCCTCCTCAGACCCCACTAGGTGGGAATGAGCCTCATGCACTGGAGGAGTAGAAAATAAGGCATGCCAGTTATCTGTGCATATGACTTTTGGCTTTTTTATTTGAATGGTTGTTAGGCTCACCTATATTTTTCTTGGTTCTGAAAATATTAAACAAAAGTTTTACTTTTAAAATTCTTTTCCCTTTGTGGTGGTGATGAGTATAACGTTTGAACTACTGATCCATTGAACTGTGACGCACTGTGATCTTTTGAGTTAAAATAATTTATAAGATTGAAATTAAAATTGATGTGTAATTGTGTCCTTCAAATAGTCTGATTTTCTTTAATAAAAATCCTCCCTTTTATTTTCTTTAATGGAAATCCTCCCTATTTGCATGTCTATAATCGCCATTTTTATAAATCTCAATATGTTAGCGCATCTCCAGCACTGGAGTTCTTATTCCACTTTAAATGGGACTCGTTATGCTACATCATTTTTGAGCCATTCATACCAAATTTTTACATGTTTTGCTCCAATGGGTTGTTCTTATAAGCACTTACACTTATATCTATCTATCTACCTATATATATATATATATATATATATATATATATATATATATATCTTATTTACATTTCACCTTTTGACAAGTTAAAAATAATGTCATTTTTTCCCAATTTTCTTCTTAAGCACCATTCTTTGTAGAAACAATGTTGCTATAGTTTTAGAAACTCTTGTTGCAACGTAGATTAACTCCATTGCAGTTTCTTATTAGACGCAACTACTTTTTGTTAAGCAACAGGTTAATAACTCTGCTCTGGAGTTGCTCTTACAAAATATGGATGTTTGTAATAAGCTACTATTCTACCCATTATGTAATCTTCAATATTATTAACCTGAATTAGAGTTTTTTCTCCCGAAAGCAAAATGCAGCATTACCGGTTTTTCTTGTTTCTCCATAATTTGCCCCTTTTTATTTTTTGTTTTTGTTTTTTATCTTTCTGATGACAACTCCATGCTTGTTGGTGTTTTTCTTTTTCATTGTAGACCATCCGTAATACCTGGACCTGTACCTGATGAAATAGTTGTTCCGGCCAATGAGTCAATAGGTGTTCCACTCAACTTGAATAGCATTTTCTTTAAAAATATTCTGTTTCTTACATCCTTCACATGTTTTAGGGGTAAAACTTCTCTTAAAGATGGGGTGGAGTCGTGGCCGCACGATCAAGGATTCACATTCTGATGCATTGTATGGTATGATTTCCCATTACCAATTTTTAGCTATTTGTTCGCTTTCTAGTTTATACCTTTTGATACAAGTTCATCCAATATAAGTTATATTGTAAGAAAGGGTTCTTAGGGCTGTATGGTTTGAGAAAACACTTTCTTATTTCTGTTTTACTTTATTTCACTTTTTTAGAACTTTGTATTGGGAACAGTAAAAACAATTATTTTTTATCATTTAAAGATATTATCTTTAGTTTATATTTATCTTTAGTTTGTTTGTTTATATTTCTTATTTGTATTTTGAACTTATCTCATATTTCTTCTATTATAAATAGAGGACCTATGTGTATATAAGGGAGATCAATTCAATATATAATTTTCACCATATTCAACTTGGTATCTGAGGAGGTTTTGTGATCCTTTTCTACTCTGTCTTTGTTGTCGCTGGTGGTTGCCACCACCGGCGCCCCCCTTAAAAATCTCATCTTTTTTGAAATACCTCAACGAGTAATCTTGTCTTTCTCATCCTCAAGATCAGGTTTAGGTTTGTACCTGGCTTGAACCTTCTCCAGTGTTTCCAACTTTTTCTGATAACAGCTATAAGCTAAACTTCCAGAGTTTGTCTCAATACAATTAGAATGGTATTCGAACCCATGCACTTTCGGACCAATACCTGAAACTGGTGCTTTAGATCAACTGATGCCTAATCATTTTGGCACTCTTATTTGACATTCTCACTGCCTTCCATTCATTTGCACCTAGAATTTTTAAAAAAAAAGACCTAAAGTCTCTTCTTCTAATAGGGAACCCTAGAAAGGCACTTGCCTCCTCCTATACGTGAATAGGCCATTGCCTCCACTGAACTAGCCGTCGCGAGCCGCGGCCCAAGGCTTCACCAACAACATCGATCGCCGCTCTCCACCGCCAACCAGCGTCCGTCGTCGGCCGTTTGTCGTCAGCTGTCTTTGTCTCGTCCACACGCGCCGTCACGCACCTCCTCTCTCCGTCAGATATCGGGTGCGTATTGTTCATGCGCCGCCCATCCCTGGTCGGAAGATCATCGTGCCACTGGTGTTCTGTTTGCCTCACTCTCCTGAGCTTCTTTTGGCCCCTTGGCTTCTTCTCAAGTCCTAACCATCACTTCAATGGCAGTTCCTCTTGCCGTCATCTCCGCCGCTTGTGCCACTGATGCATGGGCACGTAGTCCTACCTCTACTGCTTCTGCTATCTTCTTCTCCATTCTGAAAGGTGCCACTCTTTTACACCTGGAAATTGATTTGCTAAAAAATTGTGAAGAAGGCCTCCAATTCTAAATCTGTAGGGGGCCTTGGCCTTCAATTTTCACTCATGACCAAGACCTTTTTGTCTCTTTTTTCTGCTTCCACCAATGGTTTTCTTCCTTTCCTTGTGCACCACTGATGTGTCTCCACCATCATTCTGTTCAGAATCTTGACCAAAAACGATCGCTCTCGATGCCACTGCGTAACCTCTTCCTTCGATCGTTATTGCTGACTTTCTTCTTGGGCTCGGGTTTAGCCCATACTTCTTGTGATACAGTGCTAAGTATCACCATTTGGGAGTAGTCCAGCATAAAACCTTTGGACCTCTAATCTGTCTTTGGCTTTTTGATGCAATCTGTCGTCCTTATGCTTTGTAAGCAGCTGTGATGCTCCTGTTGGGTGTCATTTATTTACAAGTCTCCAAGGACAGTTGGTTAACACCAAGGAATTTCAACAACAAAGTCATGGGTTGAAAGTTGCTTAGGGAGGGAGTCTATTTCTAGCGAGATTCAAAATCTTAGTCAACAATTTCACCAACCCTTTGTCATATTTGAGACAAAGTCGTGACAGACATAAAAGAGACAACTTCTGACTGAGCAAGGCACAAAAAACACTGGAGATACATCAGGAGACGACTTCAAGGCATTGAGACAACCATTTCTGCAAGGGATTGCTTCAAATGTATATGTTTTAGATGACTAGGAGTTGCTAGAATTCTCTTTCGTTGGAATTTGATGTAATGACTTCATTGTGATGTAAACCTGTGCAATATATCGTTGTTCGTTCATATGCTCTTTCTTGAATTTATTTTCATTGTATGGAAATATAATGTTATTTGAATGTTCCTGCTTAACGAAAGTAATTTTGAACATGGACATAGATAGAGCACCTAAGTGATTTGGGATCTAGGGATAGACTCAATAACTTGATCATTCTTAGCATTGGACCTAATGCAAATTGTATGTTAAATTGACTAAGGGATTAGCATTTTGATATAGGAATTTAGAACTAGTTGCTAAGAGATTAGGACTAGTATGCCTTGATGCGAATGTTTGAATAAAATAATGATATGTTGTACAAAGTTTTATTCTCATATGATTAATGAAACCCAATTCCAACGAATCTTACTTTAAAACTTTAATTCATAATCTTCAACTTCTTGTTCTTCAAATACAATTTTGTTAATATGAAATCAATTGTGATCATCACTAAATTGATCATGATAAACAAATCCAATTAGATAGCGTGACTCAAATTTCCTTGGGAGACGATACTCTTACTTTATTACTTGAGACGATTTTGGTACAGTTGCCAAAGAGCTATCAAGGAGTAAGTAGTACAGGAGTGTGCAACCTTCCTTATTCAGGATATATTAGGAGAAGGGAGGAAGGGAGATGCTTCCATTGTGGGGGAGCTTATATCCAGGGCATAGATGTCTAGAAAAGAATATGAGAATAATAATCATGACAGAAGATGAAGAGGAAGAAGAAATTGGAAGGGAAGAAAAAGAAGAAGATGGTGAAATGGAGCAAAAGCAATTGGAGCTTTTATTATATTTAGCGGGAAGATTGACTCAATCTAATACTATGAAGTTACAAGGTTGGGTGAATGGGAAGAAGGTTTTAATTTTTGATTCACAGTGGAGCTAGCCACAACTTTGTCTCGGATGAATGGGTGACTGAGTGATAACCTTTTGGCAAGTATACCAAATCGTTCCAAGTAATAAAGAGTAAGCTCAGAATATCGTTCTTCCAAAGGAATTGTGTTACGTTATCTAATGAAAATTATTTACCAAAATCAATTGAGTAGCGATGGAAATTTTGATTCATGTCAAATAACATACTGAAATTAAAAAAATATTAAAATTTAAAATTAAAAGTTTAAAGTAAGCTTAGTTGGGATTGAGTTCATGACTAACATTACAGTAACTTTATGAACAATATATTTTGTGTTCACATATTAACATCACTATATCTTGGTTTAATCCCTTAAAACAAGTTCTAAACGTATATATGTTCAATTATTAATTCCTTAAGTAATTAATATAACCTTGCATTAAGATCCGATGTTTATAAATGACCAGAAGAATTGGAACTATTCCTAGCACCGTTCCTTTTGGTTGCTTTTCTTATGTTCATACTCAAATTTACTTCCCAGTACAACTGATTATATAAAATACATCATACTTTTGTATAATGACAAGTACAACAAGAAAAGCATATGAACACAAATATATATATTGAACAGGTAGATTACATCAAATGTTAGTCACTACATTCAATTCCCACAAAAGAAAGATTTAGCTACTCCTAATCATCTAGAACATACATAGTTTTGCAATCCCTTGCATACAATGTTGTTTGGATGCCTTAAAGTAGTCTCCTGAAGTCTGCAATCTTTTACGGTTCTTTGCTCTCTGTCAGAAGTTACCAACTTTCCCTCTATTTCCCACTTTAAAAGCCAGTAACTAATTCTCCAAGTGCACAACTCTTCATGCACTAAGCGAATATTCAACTGCATATCTTTAACTGTTCTTTATTCGCTCAACGAGTTGTGCTGGTGCGCTGAGCGAATATAACTCTTTTTAGCTGAGCGATTTAATGCTGGCTTAGCGAGAAACATCTGACAGCACTCCACTTTGATGTATAAATTCCTGTAAAATTATTTCACACTTTCCTACTTCCTATTACAACTTTTTCTATGAGGAAACACATTATTTCATGAATAAATACAAATTTGAGCTAATTAATAAGTCTAAAAACATGTATTTTTCGTACTTATCGTTGAGTTGGGTCTGCCTCATCCTCTTGGATTCCAAAGCTGATATCAGAATATCATATGACTGCCCTGGGAGGACACCCGGGTTCGCACATATCAAAGTGGTATGAAGAAAACAGTATCAGAATTTGTGGCATCCTGTGTGGTCTATCAACAACATAAATATTTGACTTCTTCCCCCATGTTTATTACAACCTCTGCCTATACCGAACACAAGCATAGATTTCATAGCAAGACTTCCTAAGTCTGAAGGGTATGATGCTATCTTAGTGTTGGTAGACAGATTAAGTATGACCACTTTATACCTGTCAAACACCCGTATTCAGCTAGAACTATAGCTGAGATATTTGTAAAGGAGATAGTCAAACTGAATGGAATTCCAACCTCAATCGTCAGCAATTGAGACCTAACCTTCCAAAGCCTCTTTTGGAAGGAGTTATTTAGGTTGCTGGGCACCAAACTCAACATGAGCACAACTTACCACCTTAAATTAGATGGCCAGAATGAAGTTTTGAATAGAAGAATAGAGACCTATCCGGGACGATTTAGCTTTAGCTCAGAGCAACCCAAGTCCTGGACCACATATTTACCTTGGTCAGAATACTGGTACAACGCCAGTTTTTCATGCTTCAGAGTTAAAAATAGTTATAGGTACCGAACAGGTTGAAAAAGAGCTACCCGAAGATCTCCAGGGCAGAGTTTTAGTCTGTTTCCCAGACAAAGTACTGCATAGGAGAACCTCCCAGCAACAGGGAGAAGCTGTGCAACAAGTGTTCATTCAGTGGTAGGAAGGAGGTACTGAGACTGCTACATGGGAAGATGTAGCAACCATGAGAGATCTGTTTCCAGATTTTAACCTTGAGGACAAGGTTATTCCTGCAGCAGTGGGTAATGATAGGATAATAATGACTGTTTATGTTAGGAGGAAAAAGGTTAAGAATTAGGTTGTTGGGTAGGTGGTTAGGAGAAGTTAGACTTTCTACGAAAAGTCTATATATAGGTGTTGGGATCTGTGTGTAAGGGGTCTTTGATTATTTTCTGGATGTTAGTGAGGCTTGTAAACAGGATCTTAGTTGTCCCGTGTGGGAGGGAGCATTGCCCCCTGTATGAGATTGATGTAACAGTGATGAACGTGAATAAGAGCGAGGTCTATTCTGTGTATTTTTGGTGTCTGAATCCTGTCTTTTGATCTCTACGATCAAGAAACGTAACACATTGTCAATTTTTTTTGCAAAGATTATGAGCTATTCAATCTGTTGTATTATTATTTCATATCCAGAATATATACTATTCTAATATAAAATAATATTTTTGTATATATTTTTGTCTGGTTGCTGTCTAATTAACTAGGCTTCCATGTAATGATATCTCAGTTCATGTAATTGTATATTCTGTGCAGATGCCAGAAGACAGGCTCGCAGAGCTTTCTTAGCATTTTCTTCTGATGATCCAAAAGTGAAGGTATCAGAGTCTGAGTCTGTCGAGGGTGATATTGTAAATTTTCCTGAGAAGCCTGTGAATGACGATGCTCAGATTTCTAAGAATACACCGGTGAGAATTTTGTTACTAATCATATAGAAATGTTGTAGGTTTAACATATGATTATCTTCTAATATGCTGGTTGATTGTTTATTTCCTTTCCAATATGGTTCTTTGGGGATTGTGATGTGTTATGTGATTTTGACCCATCTGAAAAGAAGCACCCACAAACAATTGCTTAGTCCTTAGAGTAAATCCTGATGAATTATTAAAATGATTCCTTTGAGGAATGGTGAGGTATGTTTGTGTATAATAATTGTATCTGAGTTTCTTCATGTGTTAGTACAAACTTTCAACAAACATACTTAGTTATTGTGACTCAATTTTTTATTTGTCTTTTAGCTGCTTGTTAGTAGAGATTTGTTATTAATAATATGCATGCCTTATATACATCTTTTCTTTAGGTTTATGTACTCAACCCAAAGCAAGATCTGCATGGATTAGGTTTTGATCCTTACAAGCATGCTCCGGAGTTTAGAGGTAAGCATTTTTCTTCATCTATGATGTGGGATCTAGAAAATTCATATTTAATTGCCTTATCTTCTTTTTTACAGAGAAAAAAAGATCACGCTTAGCCAACAAGGGGGGACTTGGGTTCTCTAGAGATAGTCTTTTTGGTTTGAAGTGTAAGATACTTAAACTCCGAGTATATGAAAAATATCTTTCTCTAAAATGATTTAACTCTCAGCATTCTTTCATCAGCAGGAAAGGCTGCCCCCGGTTTTGGCATTGGAGCTCTGGAGGAGCTTGATGCTGAGGATGAGGATGTGTATGCCACTGGTTAGTAGTTCTGCTCTTTCATGTTAGGAGTAAACATGGTTTAACTTGGGACTTTTTTGGTATTCGTGATAGGATGAAAAAGCCTGATGGCATACAGCTTATTAAAATTTTAATGCTTGGTATTTTTTGTGTCATTGTATATGCTATGATATCTAGACTATTATGTTTTGTATATATTTTTGTCTGGTTGCTGTATTATATGACAGGACCCAAAATAGGATAGAAAAATAGTTACTGCAAAATATCTTAATGAAATTTCCTCTTCCGGGTATAGACAGCAGAAATAATCAGACTGAAATAGTGACGAATTGGAGCAGAGCTCTGATTTACATTTTCAGCACTCACTCTTTGCACCATATTTGCCTGTATAATATTAGTGCATTACAGGTGATGACGATTAGTGAAATCAAAGTATCAAGGGGGAGAAATTGAATCGTTGAATTGCTTTTTTATTGATGATGCAAAATGACATAATTCAAAAGCTATGGCTAGTGGTATTGGGGTGTCTAGGGTTGAATGGAGGACTTTTACTTGAGCTTAAACATCAAATACAATAAAGCCTAATCTCAATCTGAAAGCCCTTATAAGTTTTCATTATTATATTGTATAAGGAGGGTTTAATGGATAAGCTTATACAATATATTACTTTGCGCGGAACAATTACAAATAAAAGTTATACTGTATTAACTTATCGTACCTAGTTTTACTCTTTAGTGATATGTATGTAGAATGCTAGAATTAGTGCTTCCTTCTGAGTATTCACTTTCAGCTTTGCTTTAAATAATGATTGTCTTTCCCATATAGAGGTGTATATGCTTTAATATTTTTGTAAGAGCACAATTTCTTTGAAGTAAGCTTGAGAGTGTAAATTTCTTCTGTAAGAATTACAAAAATGGGCATAATGTTTGCTTCTTTTTTAAGCTTACGAATTCGAAGATGCTGTTCAAGAAGTAGAAGAACCTTCAACATTGAGATTAGAAAACCGGACAAAGAAAGAGCCGAAGGACAAGGGTGATCTGCCTGGTTTCAGAGTTGCATCCAATTCTGACTATAAAATGGAAAGGTTACAAAGCAGTTTATTTCTAAACTATTAACCTGATATGTTTTTTATTGTAAAATTTCTATATTATAAACTTTAATGTTTTACATTTCTATTAACCCTGATTTGGGTTAATAGTAATTCTATGGCCCTGGGATCTATTATCATTATAATACTTGTCTTTTTTATTCTTCGCCTATTTTGTATTTACACGATTGCACATTAAACCATAATTGTATAAACTGAATTTCAGATTTGAGGCTCCTCTGATTCCTAAGGATTTTGTGCCCCACCACAAATTTTCTGGACCACTTGACCTTAACCGCAAGAGCTATGAAGTGACTCCACCGGACACTCCTCCTCCAGAGGATGGCAATTTAAAATTATTAATTGAAGGGGTTGCTAATCTGGTAGCTAAATGTGGAAAATTATATGAGGATTTATCTAGAGAAAAGAATCAATCAAATCCATTGTTTAGTTTTCTTTCTGGAGGAACTGGCCATGAATATTATGCTAGGAAATTGTGGGAGGCACAGCAGAAACACAATGATCAGACTAGTCAGCAATTGGATGGAAAAATGACTCCCGGTGTGAAGAGGCTAACAGCTGAGAGCCGAGGCCAGATCTTAGGGGAAAAACCTCTAGAAAAAAGCTCCGAAGGTCCATCCTCATTTGTTGCTTCGACAGATATTCAACTCCAATTTAATCTTACTGATACATTTACCAAGTCTACATCAGTTGTAAGTAGTCTAATCTTACTACATTAAACTCTAAATTGAAAATATCTCTGTATTGCTTCTAGTAGTGTGGCTGACTTACCAGATTGTGCTTTCAACTCATAATTCCTTTGACATGATTTTTAGACTCCTTTCTGTGGAATCTTAATGACAAGGCACAATGGAACCCGTACCATTAGGCTTGGGGTTGTACCGATTTATTTAAAATAAAAGAAGTTACAATGAGATTTATCCTCCCACTTTCGTAGAGACCTTTGTTCCCAGACTGTCAATAGCCAAAGAGACTTGGGTGTTTACTTATCTTTGTTTCTTTATTTTTGAGCCAGAGTGAGTTGATGAATGTAGAAAAGCCTTTCAAAGATGATCCAGCAAAGCAAGAAAGATTTGAGCAGTTTCTTAAGGAGAAATATAAAGGGGGATTGCGCTCTGCAAGTTCTAGTTTAGCTAGTGATATGTCAGAGGCTGCTCGTGCTCAAGAAAGACTGAGTTTTGAGGCTGCAGCTGAGGCAATAGAAAAAGGACGACAGGGCAGGGGAAGCAAGCCTTTGACTCCATCTGCCGTGGATTTCATCCCAGGTGGTGTCATGCAGTTTACTTCTGGTGAATTAGAGGTATGACTAAAGTGATGTTCCTTCTGTTTCTTTCCCTACATCTTTGCCTGATTTTGTTTGATGTATCCCGGTGCTAACAGCCAAAAAAAGACCTGCAAGCTGATGATATTTTGAGGAAGAAAACTTACCCTAAGAGGGAAGAGTTTCAATGGCGCCCTTCACCTCTTCTGTGCAAACGCTTTGATTTGATTGATCCTTATATGGGGAAGGTACTTCAAGTAGTCTGTTACATTTTGAAGTTATTCTTGCATTGACTTTCATGCTTGATTTGGAAAACTTTTTTCATTTTTTTTCTATGTCGAAGAATGATATTCCTTGCCTTTTTCAGCCACCACCTGCTCCACGGATTAGGAGTAAAATGGATTCCTTGATTTTTACATCAGATTCAGTCAAAGGTATCAAAGTGGACGACCCTGTTACATCAATAAAAGACATCTCACCTTTGCAACAATATACTGTTGAGGACATAGCCAAAAGTATTACTGAAAATGAAATTGAAGGGGACGTGGAAGTTGAAAATATTGAAAGGCCAGTTGACCTGTACAAGGTAACACCCAATTTCTCACCCTTTCCGACCATCCTACTTAAAATTAATACTTTCACATGAAATCATTTCGTCCTTTACAAAGCATGTTTACATGTTTTTATATGCCCTTTTTGTCTGTGCATATTATCTTGGGGTAACTTCTGATGACAATACTTATTTAATTTAGTTTGAGTCTTGGAACTAAGCATGAGTCCCAGGAGTGGAAATCTAAATTAACGAATGCTCATTTATCACTTGTATATATTATATGATGTTGCACAAGGCAACCTATAACAAATTCTTGTATCGCAGGCTATTTTCTCCGATGATTCAGATGATGAAAGGGGAGATTCTGGTATTGGGAGAGTGGATAATCAAGAAAAGAAAGCTGAAGTAGCTAATACAGCTTTGAGCCGATTGATTGCCGGTGATTTTCTGGAATCATTGGGCAAGGAACTAGGAATTGAGGTTCCTCCTGATATGCCTTACCCCAAACAGAAGTCTAAGAACATTGCACCTCAGAAAGAACTTGTTAATGAAGATACAAAAATTGAAACCCTCGACAGTAAAAATAATGACCAGATATCCTTAAATCATGATTTGCTATATGATCAGCAAATTTCTCAGGAGGGTGGTCTATCAAAAAGTGTCACTATTCATGGAAATAACCATGAGAACAGTAATGTGAAAACCAAGGGAGTCAGTACCATGAACTATAAACCCGACAGATCTGAGCTGAATATTAATGATGTAAGGAAAATTAAATCGCCTCTAGTCCCCAACCATGACTATAGCAGCAATTCAGAAGAAGAAAAAAGCAGAAAGCGATCTAGTAGGAAAAAATATGATCAGTACAGGAAGCTTAAAACCCCTGTAACACACCGCCGAAATTATAGTAGCAGTTCTTCATTAGAAGAGGAAAAGAGCAGAAAACGTTCTAGACATCATGGACATAAGAGGCGTGATGCAGGAAGTGATTCATCCAGTGATGACGAAAGAAGAGATAGGCACAGTTCAAGGTCAAAAGAAAAGAAAGGTTCTTCCCGAGAAAAAAGCAGAAGTGAAAAACACTCAAAACACCGCAAACACAGAAAGCATGAATCTCCAAATAGACACTCTCGTTATAGCAGTGAGAAGGACAATTCACGTTCCAGAAGTGAGAAAAAACGGAGGGAATGAGCGAGACTTGTTTCCTTTGTTTTGGACAACTTTTTGGAATTATGTTGGTGGATCATTGCTGTGTTAGAAGATATTACTAGGTTTTGGGAGTGATGGTGCTTTGATACACCCTATGGATTTCATCTGTTTTGCAAGTCTCTTGCATATGCTTCACTGGTTTCAAGTATGCTGCTTATTTATTATCCCCACCTTACCTTTATTGTATGTGAAGAAATGGAATTGGCACCTCATCATATGTACTAAATATTAGAGACTCTTTAATCGAAAAAGAAAAAGAACTAAATTGGAAGTTGAGGCAGTGCTTAAGTCCTGAGGTCTACAGTGATGCATTCATTTTATAACTTGGTTAACCACAAAATAAGTGTTTTATCTCTAAATTTCCAAATGTTAACAACTTTTCTTTAACAATTTTTTTATAACAGGACGTCGTCACTTTATTGATTTGCTTAAATTTTATTTTAGAAAAATATTTGAAACGAATACAATATACGTTATTAAAAAATTGTTAAAAAAACTTTTTTCTTTCCAAATATATCTAAAATTGCAAGAGAACCATTCGAAGTCCCCAAGATAAACACTTCGTTAGTGAGTGGATTGAAAATTGGCGCATCCAAATATTAGTCAGATAATGTAATACGTTGGTTAATTTAACATCAACGCTGCTGTTGGTTAATTTTGATATTCAAATTTTTTATACTTATTTCACATTTACGTTTTTATCTTTCAATCTCTCTTTTTATTTACAGATATAAAAATTCATTTATTAATAATTATTTTACTTCCTAAAACTGAATTGTCAAGTGGTTCTTTAGTGTCAAAAAAAATATTTTTCATGTATTATTTTTAAGCCTTTTACAATACAATTAAAAATTCATCTTTTAATTTTTAATAGATAAATAGAGTATTTTATTAAGGTTAAAATTGTTCCGATTTAATGTTTACTTGACCTTAAGTGAGAGAGTATTTAAATGTGTTGAGAATCGTCATGGATTTTTAACTTATATAATAAAGAACGTTTTGGAAATCAACAACTTATTACAAAAACACCTCTTCGGCAGCAACCTTATCAAACCTAAAAAAACAAATTTATATTAATAGCCACCACCACAACTTGCTTCCTCCACCACCCCATTCCCCTTTTACCCTTTTCTTTATTTTTTAATTTCTATTTTACCCTTATTAAAATTTTAGGGTTAATATTACTTAAAATCTCACGTACATTTATTCTCTTTATCATTTTTTCCTCTTTCTCTTTATTATTTTTTTCAGGTTGTCTCTCATGTTCCACTTCTTCTCTTTTATAGAATTGTAACGTGAGAGTGTGGTGGATTTTGTGTTTAATAAGATTGAAAGTGGGGAAAGCAATTCATCTTCAGCCGTGACTATGGTGGTGCTTCAAGGTGCTGGTTCAAAGGCGTGAGAGGCCGTGAAGGTGCGTAATAAAACCCTAAAATATAAACCGTATAATCTTTAAACGAATGTGAGCATCCGTCAACGAATGTCAACATCCCTTTAAGGGAAAACGGATGTTGACATCCGTTTTCCCTTAAATGGATGCTCACATCCGTTTAAAGATTACAGTTTTTATTTTACAGTTTTTTCTATTAATTTTGAAGATATTTAAATAATATAATTTATATTTTTTGATATATTATTTTTGAATATATTTTGATGTATTTTAATAATGTATTTTTGAGGATCTTTATTCTTATTAGTATCCATATTTAGATTTTTTTTTATTTTGCACGTTATATATAGTTAGGGTTTTTGTATAATATATATTTTTATATATGACTTTTTGTATTCTTTAATAATTTTATAATTATATAAAAAGTTATTTATTAGTTTAATTATAAAAGTAAATAATTAGGATTAAAAAGGAAAAAGGTTATTTTTGTAATTATAAAAGGTTAGTTTTGTAATTAAAAAATATATAATAGAATTGGGGAGGTGGAGGGAGAAAATGTGGTGGTGGAGGGAGTAACACCCATAGATCTAATGGAACAAGAACTTTTAATATATCACCAATAACTTTAGCCTACTTCACTATTTACAAGGCTTACAAAAATCCAATTTAGTTTGTCATAAACCCTAGGCGAACAGCAAATTTCACTGTCAATTAAAAATTATACTGCATTCATTCTTATTTTGAAGCAATGCTCAGATTTCATTTATGAAAATCAGAATTACATATTTTAACTTCTACAAAGTGTTAAAAGCATGTGGACATCATGAAACTAAATTGGGCTTCTTTCACGTAATAGTTGTCCCTGTAATTTAAGGGTTTTTCTTTTTACACTTCCACAATTACTAACTGAACCAACGCAATAACAGTAACAAGACTAAAATGTCCTTTACTACTATTAAGAAGACAGAAAGAACGTTCGAGAGAAAGAAAAGGAGAAGAAAAATATTCTGGAAAGCTCTTTCCAAAAATTATTTAATACGAGGGTGTCTGAAAAAATTATTCTGAAAGATATCATATATGTTTTAAAAAAAATGTTCTGATAAAATCCTATTTTGGAAAATTTATTCCATAATGTATTTCCCGTATTCTAAAAAGCTTGATTAGAAAAATTCTTCCAAAAATATTATTTTGGAGACTCGAAAAAGTTTGTTCCAAAAAAATTTCAACATGTATAATCTAAAAATTACTTTTACAAAGAGTAGACAGTTATTTTAAAATTTTGGAGGGGTGCGCTAAAGAATTTAGGGGTGCAGAAAATAAAAGCCTTTTCGAAAGTATCTATAATTTCATGCTCCACCTACATGCATCGATGGGAATATATTATTAGTTCTCTTCTTTAAAAAATATTAAAATAAAGGTTATTTTTTACAAGATGAAAATAAATTATTTATCTATAATTTAATATAAACATTTTTTTCATATTAGCTTATTTAGCTTAAAAAATAATTTATTATTTTATTTTTTTGAAATAATTTATTTGCAAATCGTTCAATAACTGCGGCTTTGACGTGAAGGGTAAACGATAATCAAAGGTTGTAATCCTTTGAATATGATTTCAAAATACAATTGAAATCATTAACGCGTGTGTAATCTTCAAACATATGACAACCATTTTGTAAATTTCAACTGCCAAATTATGTTTAAAGTAAAGATACTCTAATACTATTATTTAATTAATACTATTATTTAATTAATACATTTTTAATAACTATGTTAACATTTTCAGTAACTATCTTAACAACTATACATATCATGATTTCTCGTTAGTTGAAAATAGAAAATAAACTTCTTTAAGATAAGTATTACTAAGAATAATTGGTTTAAAATAATAGGAANGAGTGGAAATCTAAATTAACGAATGCTCATTTATCACTTGTATATATTATATGATGTTGCACAAGGCAACCTATAACAAATTCTTGTATCGCAGGCTATTTTCTCCGATGATTCAGATGATGAAAGGGGAGATTCTGGTATTGGGAGAGTGGATAATCAAGAAAAGAAAGCTGAAGTAGCTAATACAGCTTTGAGCCGATTGATTGCCGGTGATTTTCTGGAATCATTGGGCAAGGAACTAGGAATTGAGGTTCCTCCTGATATGCCTTACCCCAAACAGAAGTCTAAGAACATTGCACCTCAGAAAGAACTTGTTAATGAAGATACAAAAATTGAAACCCTCGACAGTAAAAATAATGACCAGATATCCTTAAATCATGATTTGCTATATGATCAGCAAATTTCTCAGGAGGGTGGTCTATCAAAAAGTGTCACTATTCATGGAAATAACCATGAGAACAGTAATGTGAAAACCAAGGGAGTCAGTACCATGAACTATAAACCCGACAGATCTGAGCTGAATATTAATGATGTAAGGAAAATTAAATCGCCTCTAGTCCCCAACCATGACTATAGCAGCAATTCAGAAGAAGAAAAAAGCAGAAAGCGATCTAGTAGGAAAAAATATGATCAGTACAGGAAGCTTAAAACCCCTGTAACACACCGCCGAAATTATAGTAGCAGTTCTTCATTAGAAGAGGAAAAGAGCAGAAAACGTTCTAGACATCATGGACATAAGAGGCGTGATGCAGGAAGTGATTCATCCAGTGATGACGAAAGAAGAGATAGGCACAGTTCAAGGTCAAAAGAAAAGAAAGGTTCTTCCCGAGAAAAAAGCAGAAGTGAAAAACACTCAAAACACCGCAAACACAGAAAGCATGAATCTCCAAATAGACACTCTCGTTATAGCAGTGAGAAGGACAATTCACGTTCCAGAAGTGAGAAAAAACGGAGGGAATGAGCGAGACTTGTTTCCTTTGTTTTGGACAACTTTTTGGAATTATGTTGGTGGATCATTGCTGTGTTAGAAGATATTACTAGGTTTTGGGAGTGATGGTGCTTTGATACACCCTATGGATTTCATCTGTTTTGCAAGTCTCTTGCATATGCTTCACTGGTTTCAAGTATGCTGCTTATTTATTATCCCCACCTTACCTTTATTGGATGTGAAGAAATGGAATTGGCACCTCATCATATGTACTAAATATTAGAGACTCTTTAATCGAAAAAGAAAAAGAACTAAATTGGAAGTTGAGGCAGTGCTTAAGTCCTGAGGTCTACAGTGATGCATTCATTTTATAACTTGGTTAACCACAAAATAAGTGTTTTATCTCTAAATTTCCAAATGTTAACAACTTTTCTTTAACAATTTTTTTATAACAGGACGTCGTCACTTTATTGATTTGCTTAAATTTTATTTTAGAAAAATATTTGAAACGAATACAATATACGTTATTAAAAAATTGTTAAAAAAACTTTTTTCTTTCCAAATATATCTAAAATTGCAAGAGAACCATTCGAAGTCCCCAAGATAAACACTTCGTTAGTGAGTGGATTGAAAATTGGCGCATCCAAATATTAGTCAGATAATGTAATACGTTGGTTAATTTAACATCAACGCTGCTGTTGGTTAATTTTGATATTCAAATTTTTTATACTTATTTCACATTTACGTTTTTATCTTTCAATCTCTCTTTTTATTTACAGATATAAAAATTCATTTATTAATAATTATTTTACTTCCTAAAACTGAATTGTCAAGTGGTTCTTTAGTGTCAAAAAAAATATTTTTCATGTATTATTTTTAAGCCTTTTACAATACAATTAAAAATTCATCTTTTAATTTTTAATAGATAAATAGAGTATTTTATTAAGGTTAAAATTGTT